TCCCAAAAAAAAAAAAAACTTTCTTTCTTTCAGTTTTCTGCATTTTCACTTCTGCTCAAGCTTCTGCACTACTTTAGTTTACTCTCAAAACTTTGAGGTGCTGTTAGCATTGTTGATTCATGAAATGCTTGTGATGCTCCTCATTTGTTAGTTGCTGAATGAGTAAAAACTTTGTGGCTGATAGGATTGCACATTTGTGGTCCTGAATAATTGAACATCTGACCCGTTTTATTCAGGTTTTGGTTCAAGGGTGAGCCAAATAACTTTGGTGGAGATGAGGACTGTATTGAACTGAATCCTGAAAAACACAACCTGAACAACTGGAATGATCGGTCATGCTCAGACACGAGAAAAGGGATTTGTGAGAAATAGGGTTCATCTAGTCTTGTCATGCTTTTACTTGTATTATCTTATGGAATCATTCTTATTGTGATATGAGAACGTATAATATCCGATTGAGGTTCCAGTCCAATGAACTGCTTTCAAATGAAAGGGTACTATTGCACACCAAACCTCTGATGTGTTCAATGTCTTGCTCCATTATAGCAGCATGTTAATATGTCCAGGATTCATGTTAAAATATAAAGAGTCTGTGGAACTGCTTTTGATATGCATTGCTTTCTTTCTTAATAAAATTGTTTACTGACTGCTTCACGGTATTTGACGCCCGACAATGGCGAGATTTCCTCCAGTCCAGCAGGACGCTGCAGAGAGCAGGTTTATCAGACTGAAGTCTTCAGAGAGGAAGACAAACATCAGATCCAACAGTTATATCTCGATGGAGAATCGGACACTCTACTCTTAATAAATCACTCCAGATCATAGGAAAACATGAATCTGGTCAATGTAATCATTGTGGACTTTCAGAAACTAGAGCATGTGCTGATTAACTGTAGGACATATGAAAGGGAAAGAATACAGTTAAAAGAGGAATTAAAATCTGCTGGCATTAATTCTATGACATTACAGAATGTGTTAAACAGTTCTCATAAAGGTTATAAAGCTCTTATTAATTTTCTGAAAAGAACAAATGTATATAATAAAATATAGGTAGAAGGATTTTTTTTTAATCAGCATGTCCCTTGATATCATCGCCTCACACTCCATCCCAGTAGGTGGCGGAATATGCACCAAAATCTGGTTTGCCAACCACCATAAAACATCAAAAGAAGAAGAACATCAGCATTAAAATAGGACATGCTGCATTAAATGGAAATCTAAATAGAATCAAGAAACATCCGAGTGGATTATGCATGCATTGTCGGGTTTTTGAATCTGTAGAGCATGTACTGTTGCACTGTAGAGCATATAACAACGAACGACAAATGCTAGAAGCTAAAGCAATGGAAGAAGGTGGAAGCATGATGTTAGAAGATATATTAAGTAAGCTAAAAAGGAATAAGAATATTATATTTGCCTTGTTAAAATATCTTAAAGATACAGGAAATTATATAAGAATATAATGATGTTTATTTATGACTATTATTATTATTTAGTATGATATACATACACATATGATGCATATACATGCATCGATGCTCCACACTCCAGTTCAGATGGTGGCGGTAATGCACTAATACGCTAGTATTCCAACCGCCAATAAACATTAGAAGAAGAAGATCAGATCCAGAGCACTGCTGTCTTTGTTGCATTTAGGGACGTTTTTCCTTCAGGATCCCGTGGAAAGGACGCATTTTGATTCTTTTATTTGGTTTTTAAAACCATGTTCACGCAAGATCTGCACTAAATGATATGTTCTTCAAGCTGTTCCAACAATAAATAAAATGGATGTATCGCGACCATCTGGTTAGTTTAAAAAGTACAAATTAACCCCATCAGGAGAAAACCCTGCCGCTTTACCTGCTCCAACAAAGGATCGTTTTGTCAATCCGACTCCGGTGTTACATTTCTGCTGGATTTACTTCAGATTTACAGTGATCTGGACCGTTTTTAAGAGGCTCTCTTTTGTAAACACAAGGCCGATTTCTGTTGCTCAAATCTTGTGAGCCATCATGGCCAAAGTGCAGGTGCTAAACGTGTCTGTTCTGGATAATCCCAGTCCTTTTGGAAACCCGTTTCAATTCGAAATCACATTTGAGTGTATGGAGGACCTACCTGAAGGTGAGAGATTTCACAAATTCACACTGTTTACACGTATTCTGCAATTACTTTGTAAATACTGAAGGCTTCGAATGGCTTTTACAGTGTCATTACGTCTTAAACACCCAAGAACCACAGGAATATTTATGGTGATTCAAGCGAGAAATTTGAAAAATCTTATTATCAGTCGTTAATGTTCACGCGCTCAATATTTTGGCGCCGGCGGGGAGTTCTCAGACAGCGCGAGGCCGCCCCTCCTTCCCTGATTAGTCCGATAGTGGACGAGGGGCGTGAACAATGTATCTGTGCCTTCTCCGATTGGTTGGATTTTGCGTGACGTCACGCGTCGGGAGGCGGTGTGACGATTTTGGGGCAGAACTTTTTTTATTATTATTTTTTTCTTCTCTTAAATGCTGTTTTACAGATTGTTCTAAGATTGTTCTTCTTTCTTGTGCATGTGGACTTAATTGTTAAAATTTATTGTAATGTTCAATCATTTCTTCAAAACAAAAATAAATAAATAATTTGGGGCAGAACTTGCGCCTTGGTGCCGTAAAACACCTTACATTTATAGTTATCCTCTATTTTGTTTGCTAAATTTATCATATTTAACTACAATAATTGTTATCATAGTCTTAAAAGAAAGAACTTTATCTAGGCATGTTTCCACAGTTTTTCACTAAATGAACTAAAGAACATTTTTATCTAATTGTTTTCACTTATATCCACCATTTTAGCAATGATTAGTAATATGGCACTTAATGGCCAAATAATAAGCCCATTTATATTATTATATATTATTAGTTATATTACCCACCTTTTAAAAATAGCAGTGTTTGATATATAAATAAAAAAAGGTTTTTGGGTTAACCTTGTGTTATGGAATTGTCACGTTTGTTCTACAAAACCTCAAATGATACTCCACAAATCATAATCGAGTATGAAACCTGGAATACATAATATAAGGACTTCAAAGGATGTTCAGTTTTTTAAGCATGTAAACTCGCATCCTTGTAATTTTGCACTAAATGCTCATTGTTTGGTATTGTTAGTCTATCTATTTACTGTTAGAAACAAGAATAGCTTATCTCTCAGTTTCTGCCTCTCAGATCTGGAGTGGAAGATCATCTACGTGGGCTCTGCGGAGAGTGAGGAGTATGACCAGGTCCTGGACTCGGTTCTGGTCGGCCCAGTTCCTGCAGGCAGGCATATGTTTGTGTTTCAGGTGGGTTAGTCGTTACGCTCTGGGAAATGTTTGTTCCTGGTTCGGTGCAGTAAGATCAGCTTCCTGCATCCAAATCTCACTTCTAAGTCATATAAATAATACAGTTTTAGAAAATAAATTGCAGTGCACTGCCACCTAGAGATGAATTGAGAAAGTACATCTGTAAATTTGCGTAGAGATGCATGCTCATCTCATCTCCATTCCATAAAAAGCACAAAAACAATGAAACATTAAACAAATGACCATTAAAGCTAGTTGCTAGCCAGATTAATATGTAGATGCTACTGTCTGTTTCCATTTCAATGTTTAGATGAGTCCCTAAATAGTTAGCAAGGTTGTTTTTGCTCTCAGTGGTTTTGAATTGGCCTGAGGTCCAGCTTTGTTTCAGATAAGACTATAGGATGGTCTCACCAAGTGCACAGGTTCTTGTTTGTTTAAGCATCATTAAATGTATACCTTGGATTAGTCATGAAATTCAAAGGGTCATTTGTAGGTACCAGAATATTTACCATCTGCAAGCTACAAAGACTGCTTGGAAACAGCATTGAGATTTCAGAGTTTTGTCTCTCTTGACTTGATTGACAGGCGGACGCTCCAAACACAGGGCTGATCCCCGAGAGTGATGCAGTGGGCGTGACCGTCGTGCTGATCACATGCACCTATCGGGGACAGGAATTCATTCGCATTGGTTACTATGTAAACAATGAGTACACAGACCCTGAGCTGCGGGAAAACCCACCTGTCAAACCCAACTACACACAGGTGAGACATTATTATTCCAGCTTATTAATATCATATACTTATATTACTAAATATCTAGTCTATTACTGGTGAATTGGAACAGAGATATGAAAGGGAAACTGAATTTAGACCGGAAAGCCCATTAACACTCAGTAGACATTATGCATGTTATATGTGACCCTGGACCACAAAACCAGTTCCAAATGAAGTTCTTAGCGATGCATATTACTAATCAAAAATTAAGTTTTAATATATTTACAGTAGGAAATTTACAGTAGGAACATGATCTTTACTTAATATCCTAATGATTTTTGGCATAAAAGAAAAATCAATAAGTTTGACCCATACAATGTATTTTTGGCTATTGCTACAAATATACCCCAGCGACTTAAGACTGCGTTTGTGCTCCAGGGTCACATATATTGAGAGTGTATTCGTGTAACACAGATCTGCTGTGTTTGAAATGTGGTAATGCCGGTCAGATCAAAGAGGCAGGTGGCTGCCGTTTTCAGTCTGATATCGTTTGTAATTCATTAATTCTGCTAAACGATTCTGGGTCGCTGCCATTGCGTGTATTGTTACAGAATCCCATATTTCCATGCATTCATTCTGTTGCGAATCGAGATTCTTAAACCGCTTGATGAATATTAACTCAGTCCACGTTCGACACATAAAACAGTTTGTTTTAAGCATAGAAATGGTCACCACTACTGAGATATATTTTAATAATAATTATAATAATAATATATTGGTAACACTTTACAATAAGATGTAATTTGCTAACATTAGTTAACATGAACTAACAATGAAAAATACTTCTAAAGCACTTAATGTTCATTTCAAAATGTGCTAATACATTATTAACACCAACACCAGTATTTTTATTAACATTAATAAGCACTTTAACAAAAATGATCTAATGGGCCCTAGAGTAAATGCTATTTTAAGGAGTAATGTTAGCATTGAGTCATTACAGTGTAACGCTGACAGATTCAAATCCAAACAATTCAAATTATTGTTCTTTTCGATTTTTCATCATGTTTTTTTTGTGCCGATTCGCAGCTGCAAAGGAACATCTTGGCGTCTAACCCTCGAGTGACCCGTTTCCACATTAACTGGGAGGCTACTATGGAAAAGATGGAAGATTCGGAGAATGTAGACCCCGCCCCCAATGCCATGCTCCCGCCCACCTCCATGCCTGGCAAAGCCCCGCCCCTTGGACTCATGCCTGACAACTCTATGGACTGCTTATAGAGCTTGAACACAACAAGAACCTCATACATGAAGTAATAAATGTGTCATTTTGTATTTATACACCTACAGTTCTTACAGTTGTGATTGGACACACACACACACACACATCTCAATCCTCTGGCACTTATTGCTCTGATCACACACACCTGAAGCGCTCAGGTAGTCATGGGACTTTGCAGGAGTCATCTTGCCCTCCCTGTCCTGAACAGCAGAGGGGCCAGACCTGCAGTACCAGCAGACATGGACTGTTTTCTTCTGTTTTTTTTTTGTGGTGCACATCACTAGTGAGGTGAATCTCATGAAAACATGTTTGGATCACATTTTTCCATAACATTAAAGAAATTAAAAATTATATTTTGCATAAAGACAAAGAAGCATTTTAGGACCTTGTTTTTGCATTTTGTTCATAAATGTTATCCCTCAAATTGTCATTACTATAATAATAAAAAATAAAAAAAAACGTTCTCATTTCTGTAATGCAGAGTTGTTTATAATAATAATAATATAACAATATTTTATTTAAACCGTAAAGTATTCATACTTAAAGGCAGAGTAAGTGATTTTTCAAAAACACTTTAGAAAACTGATTCGGGCCGAATCGCAAAACAAACTTGTAGCCAATCAGCAATAAGGGGCGTGTCTACTCGTGATGTGGAGGAGAGCGCGTTCAGTGCATGGGACGGACATTAGCCGAGCCGAGCGACAGGTAGACATGGTGTAACATTGGTTTTGCTTTGTTTCACAGAACTAATCGTTGCCTGGGTTGCGTACGTATGTGTGGGGCGGAGCTATAAAAATAGGGGCAAGACCCTTTTGGGGTAGGGGCGTGTTTGTTTTGGTGATTTCAAATATCAACATTGGCTACCAGAAATCACTTACTCTGCCTTTAATGGTTGTGTTGATAAATTACTGTTGAGAATCACCATTGAGAATAATAGGATTTACAAAAAACTGTTTTTCTTTAAAAAACAAAATGTGACCCTGAAATGTTTTGTGAGATTCATCCTGTGGTTCTTTATGGTCAGAATCGGAGAAACCTTTCTGGGAATATTTTGCTTGGATATGATCGATATTTGGAACTCGTCACAATTCCAGCTCTGTTTCTGTTTTGTTGGGATGTGAGATTAATTAGCAAAATATTTGTTTGCTTCTTTTGTTACCTTTTTTTCCACGTGATACTTGTTTATGAAAAGTCTTAGATTTAATAAATATTAACTTTTGTCTTTTATAAAATTGTCTTTGGTTTTCTCTCCATCTTCTGACTCTTTTATACGGACACATGCCCTGTGTGTGTGTGTGTGTGTGTGTGTGAGAGAGTGTGTGTGTTTATGATGTTGCTAAGCAACAGCTGTTAGAGATGGCACTTTGGGCTGCTCCACCTTTGATCCACACATCACATCAGACAACTGCTCTTCCTTTCATCCCTCTCTCCCTCTGCTCTCATCCCATAGTTTCATTTCGCCTCCCTCTATTCTCTGTCCTCTGATCTGGGCCTGTGGAAATATGCACACCATGGACACACACCGAACCAAACCTATGGAAGAAGAGTCAGGTGATGGATGCTAAGAAAGAGCGTTTAAATATAATAATGCAAAATGTGAAAATCTTTGTGCTTTGTGTAGAGTTTTTTGTAGGATTATCATACAGTTTATAGTACAGGGAGTGTTTTATACTTCACTGACGTACTTTTATAGTTTTTATATTTTGAATATGCTTTTTTTATATATTGTTTTCATTTTGATTTTAATTTTACTTATATTTTAGTAATATATATGAATGTATACTGTAAGTGTGTATTGTTATTTAGGTCTATTAATTTTTTATTTCAATTTCGGATTCAGTTATTTTAGTACATCAAGTTCAAATGTTTTAAAGTTTTAATTTCATTGAAATAATTTTATAGTTTTTATAATTTTTTATATATTCAATTTTTATTTTCATTTTAGTTCGTTTCAGTAACATACATTGACCTGTATAGTAGTATATAGTATTTATTTGAATATTTGTATAGTATTTTATTTTTCAGGTACATCAAATTAAACTAAATGAAAATAAATAATTTTTACTTTGAAAAAAAAAAGTAAAAGACATTTTTACTTTGCACTGAGAAGATGATTCAATATGATGAAACAAGAAGTGGGGGGTTACTTTGACTTTTTTAATACTTTAGTACAATTTAAAGTTTTTTTT